GTGGTCAAGGCAGGAGGGGGCTAGGTCTGTTCTTGGAGGGGCACTGGTCAGTGATGGGCAGTAAGCCAAGCCCAGTGTCCTCTGCTTACTGGCCCCACGTGGAAGAGTCGGGAAAGAGCCTGGGCCAGGAGTCAGTAGGACTGGGGTGGGTGTCGTAACCTTAAGGCAGGAGACAGGGTCAGACTCTGGAACCAGGCTGAGCAGGGTTGAATCCTGGTCAGAGTACACGCCTCTCTGGGCCTCAGTTTCCACATCCGTAAAATGGAGATAAAAATGCTCCACACCTCATAGTGTCGCCAGAGTGAAGCGAATTGATCTGTATTGAGTGCTTAGGAAAGAGACTGGTAAATAGTAAGCATTTTATGACTTTGCTGTTCTTCTTATGAACCGTGTGCCATTGGGACCATCACCTCATTCTGTTTCTGCAGCAATAAGACACACCTTAGAACTGCCCGTGCAGACAGCCAGTAAGAGACAAATAGACAGCTTCGGGAAATTGCCCAACTGTGGGGGCTTCCCCAGGCTGAGAGTGGGATTGTCTCGGGAGCTCCGAGCCTGGTCAGGGTCGGGGGTGTCCTCCGCAGTGGTTGGAGGCCTGTGACCTCTAGGTTTGCATCCTGGCTCTGCCTCTGTAAGTCACCTCCTCGAGCCTCAGTTGCGCACAGATACAATAAGGAACTGCTGCTTACCTGGGGTGGGCGAAGGAGGCATGGACGGATGGAGGTTAAGATGGCCTCTCACGCAAGGAATCTGCGATGGTAAGATTCTGGGATGCTCGTCTACCTTCTTTCTGCCATCAAACCCTGTTCTCAGGAGGCCATCCCATTTGAATGCATCCTATGCGTCCTATAAATTTATTGATGTTTTAACTGGTAACAGTTGAATGGCAGAAATAAAGGCATTTTGATCAGGGTTGCTGCCTTAAGGCAAAGGAATCTCTCTCAACCATGGGCTTTGCCACGCAGTGAGGAGCTGGAAGGGTGGTTGGAGCAGGGGCTGAGGGAGGACACTGCCAGCTTGGGCCTGGAATCCCAGTTCTGGCTGGTTTCTGGGTTGGCGGCCTCAGTGAATCAGTTTACTTCTCAGAGCCCCGGTTTCCTCATCGGTAACACTGTGGAGAATGGTGCCACCCAACGGGGCTGTTGGGCAACGCCCGTAAGGGTGGGTCTGGCACGTAGCAGGTGCTTAACAAAGGTTACTTTCCTTCTACCCTCTCCCTGCACTGAAAAGCCCCGAAACCCCAGGCCTTGGGCAGACTCTGTCCTGACGCCCTGGCGGGGAGGTCATGCCGAACGGGTGGAGCCCATCGCTGCTCTGCACCTGCCTGGTCAGAGCCTCTCTGAACCTCAGTCAGCTGGTTTCCCTATAAATAGGTGACCAGAACACTTTCCCAAAGCGGCTAGCGCAGAGCCTGGCCAGTAATAAGCACTAAATGAAGCTCACCAGGTTTTTGGCCACTGCTTGGAGCATTCATTCATTCATTCATTCATTTATCTATCCATCTATTCATCTAACAGATATGTACTGAGCACCTCCTACATGTCAGGCCCTGGGGGCACGAAGGGCACGTGACAAAGCGCTGCCTTCAAGGACATTATGCTGTAGGGGCAGCAGGAGTGGTGGCTGTGGTGTGAGAAACAGACGGCAAACAAATAAGTCTAAAATGGCTGGAGGGCTGTGGAGAAAACTGAAGCGGGGGAGTTTCTCTCTGTACCTCTCAGGGGGCCTGTAATTCCATCCATTGTAATTATTATAATACTCACTACCGTTTATTCATGCACTGGTCCCAGGGCTCACAGATACCTGGGACCCCCACCCTCTGGGTACCAGCTGGGTGAGATTCACAGATACAGAAATGGAGGATCAGAGAGGCCCAGTGACTTGTCCAGGGTCACCCAGCTTCTGGCGGGGTGGGGTTGGCAGTGAGGTCTGCTCATTCATTCATCCGTCACACACTATTGTGGGGACTGTAAACAGCAGGAGACAGACAGACACGGGCCCTGCTTCCTCGGGACCCCCCAAGTCTGGCTGGGCAGCCGGAGTCTGGGTCAGCCCCACACACTGGCCTCTGTGTGAGGCTATCGTGTCCTTCAGTGCATCATGGAGCTCAACGAGGCAAAACGGACTTGGTGGTAATCGTAATCACAGCAGCAGCGGCTAGTGTTTACGGAACACGTACCCCATGCTGGGCGCTGTGATTCAGTCCACTCACCAGCCCGTGATGCTGTTAAGCCCATTTCATGGAGGAAGCAACAGAGGCTTAGACAGGTTGACAGGCCTGACGTTAGTTACACGGCCAGCCCACTGCCCAGGGCAGCTTTCCTGGTGGTCAGTGAGGAGGGGAAAGTGTGGGGACTGGGCAGTCCTAGTCTAACACTGGTGGGCAAGGCCCAGGTCAAGGTCAATGGCAGGGGTCAGCAGTGACCCTTTAGCATCTGGAAGCATTGGACTGCAACAGCCAGTGCCTGGGTCCCGGGGAGCTCAGAAGCTAAGAATAACGGTCCCTCTGTTTCTCGGGGGCCGTGGGTGCGGAGGTGAGGGCCAGCTTGGTGGGGAGGGAAGGCCATGGCCCATGATGGACTTCACTCTGGTCTAGGAGTGCACCTTGAACTCAGGGGAGTTGTGTGTGTGCAGGGTGCAGCCGCCCTTCTCCCACCCACCTTGGGATGTGCTGGGGGATCCCGGGTAGGAGCAGAAGCCATCTGCATTGCATGCGCTACTGAGAGGGCTCAGAGATACCTGGGACCTCCACCTGCTGCGTGGTAGAACCCCACACACTTGTCCCCAGCCCCACCCCCAGGGAAGAGCCTGGGGGAAGGGCAAGTCTCAGGTGGCGGGCCAGGCTCCGACCCTTCCTCAATTTGCTGCTCTGTTCTGAGTCTGATAAAGGGGATACAGTTTCCCTTTAGCTGCCAGAGGCTGCCAGTGGAGCCACTGTGCTTTGCAGTCATTTGCTCCCCGGAGAAAGTTCTTGGTCTGAACAGGGTGTCCAGAGGCCACGACTGCAGCTCAGTGCTGCTGCCCACCAGTTGGGTGGCCTGCGTGAACCAGACTTTTCTCTTGGCCTCAGTTTCTTCAACAAATGAAAACTCCTACTCCATACCTCACAGCCTTCTTATAAGGGACCGTTATTACCATTGTCAATAGAAATCGTAATAAATCTAATATTTGGGGTCACTGTCTCATGCCAGGCCCTTTGCTAAATGCTTTACCTTTGTTAATTCTTTCTAGTTCTCTCGACCTCCCTAATTAAAGTGAGCGGTTGTCATCCTATTTTGTAGAGGAGGAACTGGAGCACAGAGCAGTTAGGTGACTCACCCAAGGTCACACAGCTAGAAAGTGGTGGAACAGAGATTTCCTCCCCCCATCTTATTCTCTGTATACTCTGCATCTGATGATTCTTTCTCTGATGTCTGTGAGGGTCTAATCTCGCTGTCGCCTGGTTCCTCCAGTGTATCCTTTTCTCGTGGGTTTGATTCTCAGTAGTGTGAGCTGGTGCCTGGAGACTGAGGCTCAGGCGGAGGAGGAAGTGGTCCAAGTCACAGTCAGTCAGTGGCAGAGCTGGGATTGAATCCGGGCGTATGGGCTCCAGCACCCCTGTATTAACAGGGCCGCCGTGGAATGTCAGGGCCAGGCGTAGGCACAGTGAAGCCGTCGGTCCAGCAGGTGGACAGGCCCACGTGTCTGCAGGATGGGGAAGCGGTGGCCGGGGGTCGGCGTGCAGGTTGCTGGCATCCTAGCAGCCTGGGTGAGGGGCTGCGAAGTGAAGGAGGGAAGGGTGAGAGGGTCCACCTGAGTCAGGGTGACGGCGTCCTGAGACACTTCTCCATCCCTGGGGCCTCTCCCTCCAGGGTGTTTCCCTGACCCCCACCCACCCTGGCTCCGAGAGCGAACGCTCTGAGCGCCCACACTAGGCACAGTGTCTGGGTTCATCTCCATCCCGGCAGGAGGTGCCGCTCTGGGACCCAGGGAGGCCGGGAGGTTGGGTGGCAGGGCGTATCTGCACCAGGCCTAAGTGACCGCCCCCCACTCTTGCACCCCAGCTACTCAGGACACTTACACCCCACTCAACAGCTCAGCACCGCCCTGCAGGGCCCTTGTAAATTCTTAACATGTGGCTCCCAGCCCCCCAGCAGGGCTGTCTCCACCTCCACGTAGCTGGGAAGCCCTGTGGGGCAGTGACACCTCAGCAGCTCCCCAGGCCCCCACTGGCGCTTTGCTGTCCTGTCCCTCCTGCTTGCCCGCGGGCAGTCCCTCTCCCCTCCCGCAGCCCTTGTCCCCTGTGTCAGTCGGAGTCCTGAGGATGCAGGTCCCAGCCTTCTCTGGAGATGCTCACAGTCAAGTGAGGGGGCCACGGGGGTCCAGACCTCTAAACAGCAGGTGACACAGCAGCGATAGCCGGGCCACGAGCACAGGAGCTGCTGTGTCAGGCAGGTGCCACGAGCCAGGCAGTGCGCTGAGAGCTTCACATGGACGAACTCTACTCTCTTATCATCCCCGTGAAAAAGGGACTATTGCTGTATCCCCACTTTCCAGCCACGAGACTGAGACACAGGGATGGGGTGGTGGCGGCTGAAGGTGACAGAGCTACAGACCGATGTTCTGGGGTTTCAGCCTAGGCCTCTGGCTCCAGAGCCTGGGTACACTGTGGTGGTCAGAGTGCTGCTTTACAGTTTGTCACCAGGTGCCACGAGTGCTGTGTGTGTGTGCAGCGGGCATGGCCACATCAGCCTGGGGGGAGTGGGTGGTCGTCCACAGAGGAGTCCCTCTTCTGGTCTCCAGCCTCTCTCCTCCGCTGCCCCGTCGACTCCCCAAGGGCGTTCAGTGACTGGGGATTCAACGGGGATGTGCGTGATGGGGGTGCCTGGGGCGGGGCTTTCTCGGAGTGAGGAACGGATGCTCAGTCAGTCTCTGTGGAGCCCCAACAGTGAGCTCAGCCTCCCTTCCCATCCCAGGATGCCCCGGACCTGAGCCCAGCCTTTCCACTCTTGTCCCCGCAGGGAGCCGGGAGGCCGCCTTCACCTACGCCATCATCGCAGCCGGCGTGGCCCACGCCATCACTGCTGCCTGCACCCAGGGCAACCTGAGCGACTGCGGCTGCGACAAGGAGAAGCAAGGCCAGTACCACCGGGACGAGGGCTGGAAGTGGGGTGGCTGCTCTGCCGACATCCGCTACGGCATCGGCTTCGCCAAGGTCTTTGTGGATGCCCGGGAGATCAAGCAGAATGCCCGGACTCTCATGAACTTACACAATAACGAGGCAGGCCGAAAGGTAGGCAGCTAGGGAGGGGAGCCGGGCGGCTCTTGCAGAGATGCTGCAAAATGGCTTATTCATAACAACTGGTGTTGGGTCTCTGGCGATGGGCCACAGGGCTCTGCCCGTAGCCTCATTCTGCTTGCATCTGTTGTCGATTTGCTGCTGGTCAGGATTTCTGTGTGGCATGATGCTTGTCAGTTACCGACAAGGTTGAATAATCGAATCTCTGTTTAAACATTGGATGTAACTCAGCAAAATGGAAAGAGGGACGGATGTGAAGTGTCATCCTCGGGCCCACAAAATCAGCTGTACAAAACTCTGATTGTGGGGAGGAGTTGAGGTGAGTGCAGTAGGAGTCATTGCTGTAGGGCAGATGCCAGGGCTGGTGATGTATCCTTGGTCGCCTTAACCAAGATCTGGAGCTCAAAATAATGGAGGTAACCATTCCCTCTTCACCGCCTCCTCAGATCCTCCTGGGCTCAGCTTCGAAGAGAGTCCAGGCTGTCCCAGAATGTTTCTAATGGAGGTGGCTGGCTTACAAAGGGGATGGACACCCCATCCCGTGAGCAAGGGAGCAGACAGGTTTGCCGGCAGAGTACAGTGAGGGCCTATGGGGTGGGGCTGTCACAGGATGGTGGGTCCTGCCTGTGTGAGGACCCGCAGGCCCCGGAGGTACTGGGCAAGGAGGGGCTCTGATGGGCCAGGCCAGACAGGGAGGGAGGGCTCCATGCCGCCAGGGTGGAGGATGGACCACTGCAGTGACAGGGGTACGTGTGGGCACCACTGGGGGGCGGGGCAGGCAGGAGCAGCGGTGATGAGAATGCGGGAAACCGTGCCCAGGGCTGTAGAGACCAAGGAACACAGGCCCCGTCCGTGGGGCCCCCAGCTTGGCTGTAGCCCGTGGAGTCTGTGCGGGAATGCCGGCCCTGGGTGGCCTCATCCTCTGGTTTTAGACCCAGATTTTCATGCATAAGCACTTCTTTTTTTAGGCGTTGGCATTTAAAACTGGTCGTCACCAGTGACTCTTAAAAAATGTAGAAAAAGGAAAAAAGAAAGAGGATTACTATAGGAGCTCAAACACACACATGCTGGCTAAGGGTGGGCCTCGAGCTGCCCATTTGGGTGCCAGCTGACCTGGTTTTGCTAGAACATGTCCGTGGGCCAGCAGTCTTCTCGCTCAGTCCTGTGCGTGAAACGGGACAAGCTCAGTTCCCTGTGCTTCTCACAGCGTCCCTGTGAACGGTAGCCTCATTATCCCATTTTGCAGGTGAAGAGATGGAGGCACAGAGGGATTGTCACGTGCTAATCGGGAGCAAAGCCAGGATGTGAAGCCTGGCGTCTGGTTCTCGGGTTGGTGTCCTTTGCACAGTGCGGGCTGGCGGTGGGCTGCCTGGGCTCAGATCCGAGCTCTGTCGCTTGCTTCTACCCGGGAAGGAAGCAGAGATGGCAGGAGTGTCCTCGCAGGGAGAAGGCAGGAGAGCCCTTCCGCAGGGCTGGCACACAGCTGGTCCTCAGCACGGGGTGGGTGTGACCCCAGACCGAGGGAGGGAGCTGTCTGGTAAGTGGTGTTGGCGGGTGGCTTGCCCACCCGTGTACAGACGAATGGGAGGTACCAGCAGCCCTTCCTCCTGCATTGGGGTTCCCTCCCTCCCTCCCTCCCTCCTCTCTCTGCAGTCTCCGGCCACATCTGGTGTGTCAGAGCCTCCCAGGAGGCCACGGTGAGTCACGCAGCAGGCTGCTCACCTGGTCTGTCCTAGGATGATGGCCGGGGTAGATTGCAAGGCCCTGCCGGCCCTGCCCTGTGCCGGAAGCTCCTGCTCAGGGCGGCACATTCCTCCAGGGTTCTCAGCTCTTCATCCCTCCCAATTTCTACGGTCAGGTCACTTCCTAGGGCTGAGGTCATAGGTCATGGGGTCCCTCCTGGCCTTGAAGCTCCCACCCCTGGGAGTGGACAGGAGAGGGACAAGTGGCTTCCCTCTCCCCCTGTTTCCTCCTGTGTGGCTACCTGGTCCAGCCACAGTGAGAATGAAGGGAGAGAGCGCTTAGCTGGGGGAAGGAAGGTCCCACGCACATCAGGCGGGAGAGGGTTTCTTTTTTGGATTTCCGTCCCGTTTATGTCACCCCAGAGCACTGAGTAGAGTTCCCTGTGCTATACAGTAGGTTCTCATTAGTTATCTATTTTATACATAGTAGTGTATATATGTCAATGCCAATCTCCCAGTTCGTCCCACTCCCCTTCCCCCCGCTAAGCATCCCACTAAGCTTCCCTCCCGCTTGGCGTCCATACATTTGTTCTCTACATCTGTGTGTCTCTATTTCCGCTTTGTGAATAAGTGTTCATCTGTACCATTTTTCTAGGTTCCACATACAAGCGATATTATACGATATTTGTTTTTCTCTTTCTGACTTACTACACTCTGTACGACGGTCTCTAGGTCCATCCACGTCTCTGCAGATGACCCAATTTCATTCCTTTTCATGGCTGAGTAATATTCCATTGTGTATATGTACCGCATCTTCTTTATCCATTCCTCTCTTGATGGACATTTAGGTTGCTTCCATGTCCTGGCTATTGTAAATAGTGCTGCAGTCAACACTGGGGTGCATGTGTCTTTTTGAATTATGGTTTTCTCTGGGTATATGCCCAGGAGTGGCATTGCTGGGTCATATGGTAGTTCTATTTATTTATTTTATTTTATTTTATTCTATTTTATTTTATTTTATTTTTGGCTGTGCTGGGTCTTCGTTGCTGCGCGCAGGCTTTCTCTAGTTGCGGCGAGCGGGGGCTACTCTTTGTTGCAGTGCATGGGCTTCTAACTGTGGTGGCTTCTCTTGTTGTGGAACATGGGCTCTAGCTATCCGGGCTTCAGTAGTTGTGGCCCTCAGGCTCAGTAGTTGTGGCTGGTGGGCTCTAGAGCGCAGGCTCAGTAGTTGTGGCTGGTGGGCTCTAGAGCGCAGGCTCAGTAGTTGTGGCTGGTGGGCTCTAGAGCACAGGCTCAGTAGTTGTGGTACATGGGCTTCGTTGCTCCGTGGCATGTGGGATCTTCCTGGACCAGGGCTCGAACCCGTGTCCCCTGCATTGGGAGGCGGATCTTCAACAGCTGTGCCACCAAGGAAGCCCTGGTAGTTCTTTTTTTTTTTTTTTTTTTAAGGACCCTCCATACTGTTCTCCATGGTGGCTGTACCGATTTACATTCCCACCAACGGTGTAGGGGGGGTTCCCTTCTCGCCACATGGGAGAGGGTTTCCTGAGCCACCAGCTCCAGCAGGCATGAGGGCTGTGCTTGCTGTTCAGGGCAGCTCTTGGGTGATGCAGATGATGGGACCGTCGTATGTTGTAAGGTCAACCTCAGGGGCCTTTCTGGAGTAGCTGGGCCCCAGAAAATGAGTGAGGTTTGGCTTGGCAGAGAAGAGAGGTGGAGGCAATCCAGGTAGTGACCAAAGGCCCAGAGGAGGGGCTTGGGGCCAGTCCAGGGGCCCAGACTGGCTGGTCTGTGAGTCCCTGAAGGGGTGGCTGCAGCCAGAGGGCTGCAAGGTCACCTTCCAGGCCAGGGAGTGAGAGCCATGGGTTTTCCCCTCAGGGCTGCCCTGTCCTTACTGCTTGAGTTCCAGCTCCGATATCCCCTCTTCAGAGAGGCTTCCCTCTCAGCCCCTTCCTAGCCTTTCCCCGGGCAGTGCCTTGTTCCGAGGCCTTCTCCCCTCCCCAGATCATAAGCTTGATAAGGACAGAGACCTCATGCATCACATTCACAGCTGCACCCCAGGGCCTGGTGTATACAGGCGCTCTATGTACGTACGGAGTGAATGGTTGAGTCCCTTATGGTCACACTGGGGAGCCGCTGATGGTTCTGGAGCAGGGCGTCAGAAGTCTCAGAGACTGACTCCAGGACAGCAGAGCGAGGCCTTGGGCGGGGTCAGGAACGGGGCGTGGGCATCCTTGGTGGGGTGCGCAGGTTGGGCCTCACTTGTCACTTCTGAGCAGCAATGGTTTTCCCAGCTCAGGGTGCCCCCTGCACTCCCATCATCCCCTGCTGCCTAGCTCCACTCTGGTTCAGGAGGACGCTTGAGGGTCACCTCCTGGAAGGGCAGTTCAGCCAGGCACTATATGTTTTCCAGAGCCAAGAGGTAGAATTTGGGACTCCCCAGTGGACACAGGAAAGGCCTGATTAACCACCAGTCCAGCCCCTTTGTGGTTTAGGGGTGCAAACAGAGGCCCAGAAAGGATCCCGACTGGCCCTCAGCTATGCAGGGCAGTGGCCACACCCCTTGGCCAGGGCACGGCAGGAAGGTGGTCTCCCAGCCTAGTCCCTCGCTCTCAGACATGGGGCACCCCAAGGGCCCAGACACAGATCCGAGCGGCTAGGAGCAGGGCAGCCGCCTAGCCTGGGGAAGGTAAGGCTCAGTGTGTATCATCTCTGGGTTCCATCCCTTCTGGGGGCCTCAGTTTCCTCATCTGTCAAATGGCACTATGATCCTCGATCTGTTCTGGATCCCAGGTACCAGTCAGGGCCAGGCGAGGGCACACACTGGAGACTCCAGGATCCTGCAGCCTGCCATTTATTCAAAGGCACGGGACCCCATTCCAGAAACTCTGCCCACAACAGGCTTCCGTGGGCCCCATGCACAGTGGAGCTGGAACGGGCAGGAGGAGAGGGGCCAGCCCGCAGCCGCTCCTGGCTGAGCGTCTTGGGAAGGATCACAGATGTGTTTATCACCGGCTCCCTCCTCCTGCTGTGAGAAGACAAGACTCAACCTGACCACAGGCTCTGGGGCTTGTTGGCAGCTGGTGCGAGAGAAAAGGGGGAGGGGGAGGTGGGGAAGGGGTGTGTGTCCCAGAGCCGAGCTGGTGGCCCGCTGAGTGAGCAGAGATTCAGGGCTTGTCCTCCGGGCGGCCCTTGGGGTGGCAGGGTGCCCCCGACTCAGCTGGCAGATCAAGAGGAATAATGCCGCGGGGGGCACCTGCCCTCACAGGTCTCCGGTTTGGGTCCGGCCCAGGCAGAGCCAGGGTTTCACCT